GAATCACTACAAGCAAATTGTGATGATTATTTGTACTAACAATTTATCGTTGATGTTCTAAATTTTTAAATCTTTCAAGGATTGTAACTTTTATAAGATTTCCAAGATTTTATGATTTTTAAATGAAGAAGTATCAATTTCTTGTGTGTATTTAACAGTTACTTTTCATAAATAAGGAAGTAAAGTTTTTCTGTGTGCGAAGTAAGTTCGTTCTTCTTTTTCCGAATCCACCTGGCAACTTCATTTCTTGTTCTTATCAGCAAACGTACCGCTGGGAAATTATTTTGTGCGCTCGCAAGTATTCCAAACATTTTTTTGTGTACATACATACATCCATATAATTATAAGCAGTACTTACGTACGTACGTCAATTATTTAAGCATTGCATGTCAGTGGCTTGTAGATAAGACACTTATCTATTATTTATTTACGCGTGAATAAAAAGCGGTACGAAATCGAAGTCATGTCGGCTATTTCCAGTAACATGCCATGTTTCTCGTAATTAAATGGTCGTGTCGCATTTACAGCTGTTAGAACGATTGTTTGAAGGCCTCCTAAATAATTCGAAAAAAATTTACAACCTTGTTTTGCCTTGTATTAATGCAAAGATCACTTATTAAAAAACAGGCCGCCCCAATCCAAATTAAACAGATATTCACCACACTAGGACATCCTATATTATTTTAGTTTGCTATTTTTGCTGTAATTTTATTTTGCTCTTTCGAAGACATTCCGTGTTGATATTAAAGCACGAGTTTAAAGTCAATAAATCTGGTAAAAGTAAGTAACCTCATCTCTAGATGAGCGCCTTGACATTTAACTATTAGGTATTAGATATGAAATCGTGATCTTTAAGGTGAAATGCATTTTGAGGAATGTACATAATAATAATGTACGTACGATAAGGACTTTTCACAAATACTATACCTGTTGAAGTAAAACTCCATTTAGAAGCTATTCTAATATCTAATGATTCAATTATTCTTTGAGAATATGAGAAGACCTTCTTTAGAATTTTTTTTAAAGTTAAGTTTTAATATTAGTTGTCATAAATAAATAGACGTTGCAAAACCGAAGTGTCCTAGTTACATTGAGGGTCAGATTTTGAGGAACTTTTCTTAGATTTGCCAATAAAATAATTAATTGTTATTTTCACCGGTTTCGCAAAGAATCTGATAAAAGTTTGTACATTCACAGTTGATGAATTTATCAACCATCTGTGTTCTAAACAAAGAACACCTTTAATTTTAATCTTATCGAGTTACGAATAAAATGTAATCTTACAAAAAAATTGAAGTAAATACATAACGTTCATGTAGGTACTTTCTGCAATTATGAATTGCATCATAAACGATAAAATTCGTAGCAGCTGACATTGATGTTACTATTAGGTACTTTTAAATGTCACTTGTTTTACCAGTAAATTCTTGTTACAAACAGGTTAACTCGCCTCAATTTGCTAACGCTCCAAGATGAAAACTTAATTGCCGGCTATTTTAGGCTATCTTTATTAATTGCTCAATTTGAATATTGCAGCGCGAGTTCAAAAAGCGAGTTGAGTAACGACTTGAAACTTTCTAACGGGCCGGTGAAATATGTGGAAAACTGAAAGCATGGGATAAAAAGGGGGGAAATTCAATAGTCTTCGTTACATAGGGTGAGCCATGATAGGAATTATATTATTTTTTTCTTATAGAAGTTTGTAAATCCTCTTTTAACATATAGAAGGAAGTTATTAATCTGTCTCAAACACTTTTATCTCCGTTATATGACAGATAATTATCACATATTGGAGTCGTTTTCTAAATTTAATTAATAATTACGCGGATAATATATAATTCACGACTTCTTTTTTTATCAATTCGTTACTGCATAAAAAGTTTTACAGTTGAATTCATTCGACGTTTATCGTTCACAAACAATTTTTTTTTCGTAAATAATCACGATTAAATTGTCTGAGTTGCGAAGGAAGAAAATTAGAAAGTACCGGCAAAAAATCCTGAAGAATTTGGAAAATCAATTAAGCTGGACGTGCACAAAAAGAAATTGTTTATATAATATTCTTATTAAAAATAAAACGAATTGGAGTCGCTTACAGACCAAAGGGAATAGCTGTAGACGTGAGGCAATGCGCTGTGATGCATATAAAACAATACTTTTTTGGCTGATTACTGTGATATAATAGATTTTATTTAAATGTTCTAGACTTTTTATTTTTTTCTTACTTACAATGAAACCTTCTTTTTGCCAAGAACGAAAGTGGGACAAACATACGCAAATCTTTTGAATATTTTTGCAAGGATTCGCTAATTTCTAAACATAACAAAATCCCCGCTAAAATAATTAGTCCTATTAGATGGTCTGCATGAGTATGTAATTTTTAATTTAACACCAGAGTTATTCTATTATGATGTCCCTCATTTATTGAAAAAATAGATCATTTAAATAATTCCATAGCGTACCTATTCGAGAAAACTTCACTCCATAGATACAGTAACTCAATGTTCATCAGTTATTTTAGCGGTTTTCTTTAATTCAGTTACAATAAGTATCAGATTGAATGTATGCTATGAAATAACTCGCATATGTGCAGTAATTGAATGTAGTATTGTAGGATTAAGATCTTTAAACCACCTCAGATTCGAACGGTAGACCAGAAAAGACAAATGGTGATTCATGATAAAACAACCGTTAGAGTTTAACATCACATCTGTGTTATGAAATATATTGTTGTTTAATCGCGAAATGGTCTACATACGGAGCTTGCAATGTTATTTTTATACAGTATGATTTAATAAAATGACCCCTATTTGTTGCTTGTTTCCACATGTGGATGAGTAACTGTAATTGATTTTATTTTCTTCTTGTAAAATTGTTCCATTGTTGACCCTTTCTTCTGCTTCTCTATAAATCTATTTACGTAGGTAATATTACATATTAAACCAAAAAGCTAACTTATCTAGTTCTGCTTCGATTATTTCATTATATCATAACTAGTTACGCTCTGTAGGAAACTGTTATTTATTATTTATCAGTTTGAATGAAATTACACACCATTTCGACGTTGAAGCATTGCGGGCTCTTTGCCGGAGAAAAGCGTACAGATATTGTATTCGCCATACAACTCATATAAATAAAGAAATAATTAATCCCATTAGAAATAGAATACCGCCGGATTTATCTCTACAACATGCTCGTTTTACAGAAAAATGAAACCGGGTTAAGTAACGTTCTTCGATAAGTTAGTTATTTATAGGCAGTTAAAGCTGTCGAATGCATTGATCTCGCTTTGTTGAGCTCATAGAAAAATATAGAAGTTCCTAGATGATGGATAAACTGCAACTAATTGATACATGCAGTGTGATAATTTGATTAGTACTGCTGCGTATAATTCTAGGGCACTTGTAAATGGATTTAATTGAAAATATTCCCACCTTATTCATGCCTCATTGGAAAACTAGTACAAAAAACATTTCAGTAATATAATTTTTATAGATGAAGCTATATAATTTGACATCCTGTGTACAAGAGATAACAGGACTGCTTAGTGTTCACGTGGGTGCGTTCAAGAAAGGTGTTACTGTTCTGCTCGACTATTGTAATCCTTTGTAAGTAACTCGCGGAAATGAAGAAATCAAATCTAATTGACACGTGTAGTGACAGGAAACGAGGCTCGTTTGACCAAACGCTAACTAAATGGTCATTTAAAAACGCCTATGTAGGTTGCATTTAGATGAGCCGATGATTTACCATTCAACAGGATTTTTGCATATCGCAATTAGTGCAAAATAATGCATAATAAATTATGAGCCGTTTCAGTGAATTTAGATGTTGTTGTTGATAATTGCAGCTCGCTTCGAATCAACGTTCCTTTCCAATCGAAGCGTAACTGCAGTGCTTATGGATAAGAAAATAATACGGCCAGACACTTTTAGTTGATTCTTTCCTTTCGTTGTCTAGTCTCGTTCATTTGAATAATTGATTCCAGTGCAAGTCTGAGCAGAATGATCTAATTTGATGTTAATACTAGATCAGCAACGGTCGTTAATTCGATGATCAAGATATTAGATTTTTTTTAATTAGTGATTTAGAAAGCGCTATCGGAAATGAATTACCTACTATGGCAGGTATTAGAGTAATTTTAATTGGACGGGGAATTAATAAAAAACAACGAACAATAATGGTTTATAACGCGGTTTTATTTTGGTATCCGCCGAATGCTACTAAAAAAACATTAAATTTGAATATTTTTAAAATATTTAGAACGTCAACCCACTGAGTTCTCGATCGATTAAATGCATTCCGGATTTCGAGACTAAACTATGTATAACGACATCGTCGTTAGCGAAAGAGGAAACGCAAAATTACCTTTTACAATATTAACTCAACGTTGACCAAAAAGTAACGAAAATGGCAAATGTTTACTATATAAGATTAGATGGATAAACATACATTGCCTTTTACCTCTTCAACCGCCGGCGAGTCAAGAGGTTGCTGAACTCTCGTAACCCATATACATTATGTTCGGATCACCTATCATTACTTATGCTTAAATTCCATTTAAGAAATAATATTGTTTGGTTATAGGTATTTGGTTTCATTATATTTATTAATACTGAAAATTGGAATGTTGGGTAAGGACATGATTCTTCCACAGTGATTTTTGAATACTGTGCTTATCCGTTTGTGATAAATCTGTAATAGCGTGATTGCATATATTTAATTTCTTCTATTATTATTCCAGCGTTTTGTACGGTAATTTTCTAAGAGCGAATAAAATGAGGTATTCCGGAAACTGCTTACAATGAATAATAATCGAATCGATCCGATCAGACAACAAATTTAACATTATAGTGTTTCCGTTCCGGATACCTTTGAAGAATAGCAGATAAATTTCAATACCTATTCTAGTATAATTTTACTAGCTAAAATACTATTTTCTACTTACTATTTACTAAGTTAATGATTTTTGTTAAAAAATTAAAATACTTTTTTTACAGTTTTCAGGTCGTATCCAGTCAATTTCTCCATCAAGAATATCATCGTTTTGAATTAAGGTAAGAATTACTATTAAAACCTAGATATAGATAAATTAAAACCTGGTATTTCTATTAGGAGGAAATAACTAAACTGTTTCAATAAATGAAGAGATAATGACTTTAAAGATAAACTATCAAAATATTTACGTTTATGTCATAATTTGTTCCAATTAAACGGACTCGGAATGCCCACGATGCATTGCTATGCAATTTTTGCGACAACTCTGTATGAAACCACTATAAATCGTTTTATGACAGTAATAAACCCGTTGAATTAAACGTAATTTACGACTATCGTATAATCGATTTTTTAACAATTCGATCACCGTCTATTGTCATATGAATGGTGAAGTGATGAAGCACATTCATCAAAATAACTATTCATTTTTATACTGGTACAGAAAAAGCGAAAATAGGCGTTTCGCGCGGTTATAAAACGAACCGACAACAAAATACGTTATGCAAAAGGACCAATTCTGTCGTGAATTGTCGTTTTGTAAAATGTTTAATTATAATTACTCGTAATGAGTACCGAGAAAGAAAATTATTCGCGCATTAGAGCGTGAATAACTCGTACATTAAGTCGAATTAATATGTAATAAAATAATTTTATTCTATTTCGCTTTAATCTCGCTAGCAATTCGTTGACTTTTAATGATAATCCGTATAGATATTACGTCACATTACGCGCAAAATTAAAATTTACCGTTACCGTTGTTGCTGGATTTTACACCTGCTCGTTTGACGATCACAGTTGATTTACTAGCTGAAAGATGTAGGAGATTCACAATGAATTTAAATGAGTTTTTTTCTTCGCATCGCTGACCTTTCTTCGGCCAACGTCAAAGGTCTTCGACTCGATTTATTTATATGTAGCAGCTTTTGCTTCTATATTAATAATCGCACGACGCCGAACGGACACCGTACGAAATAAATCGCGCATTTTGCCGGGTGAAAGCATCCCGCGGCGGACGTGTTAAAACCTTTAAAGGGGAACGAATCGTACGGTCCGTCACGACATCGCTGTCCGCCGGACCTGGAGCGCTTCTCGCTATCATCCTCGTAGGTCAATTTTAATGGAAATCGGCACCGTACGGTTTCCCGTTTCTTGCATGACTTGGTGCAAACAAAGAACAGAGCGCTAGAGAGCCGTTCTTACATCAAATGCATTCGAAGAAATAACTCGGCGTAGGTATTTTTTGTTTAGAAGCTATTGCAACATACCATGGCAATTTTGAATAAGCGTAGAATAAAGTTTAATAATAATAGAAGTATAGAATAAAGCACCCAATTGAACTTGACAATAACATTAAACCATAAATTGATTATAAAAAATTTGCAGCGTATCAGGAAGTAAATTAAATTCGAAATAAATATCATGCGGGTGTGTACTTGCCATTTGCTCTTTTTAGTACAGCGGTATATGATCACATTATAACCTTCGACTTCTTTCGACTGAATAAATACAACGTATCCTGGTTTAGATATACTGTTCATCTAGTTCTAGTTTATAACCCGAGGAACTACATTGAAATAGATAAAACAGTTTCGATTTTCAAGGTCTCGCAAATTCGAATGGAAAAATTATTAGGCGTTTCTTCTTTCCGAAAGCTTACAGCGGTTTGTGATATCGATCGGTGTAGGTGAGGTAAATGAAGGCTCAAATATAATTAAACCTATAGGAAGGTTATAAGGTAAACTATGAATTACTTATAGCTGGTCACCTGGGGAGTTCTCACAAAGGAATTTTAGCAACATTATTATTGGTATTATCGATTATTTTTGAACGTTTCAATACTTCACAATGACTGAAAATACAACTATCGAGACTTTCGTTAAGGAATTATTGCATTACGAATGATGCAAGATGCCTGTTTGTATTTTTGTTTTTTTGTTAAGTAAACAAGAAAACAACGGGTCGTTATGGACTTAAATTATTTAATACTTTGCATAACATCAATAAATTTTCATACAAAACCTGAATACATTTATTCGGCAATATATTCGCAATGTGATCCACTTAAAAACCACCATTGTTTGTCTTAATTTAATTATTTCGACTTCGTGTAATTGAATTTATTAGACGGTTTCAAATCTAATTCCACGAACACTATGGAAATTGTAGGTAATTTATCGAAGAATTGCTCGAAACGCGACTGACAGACGCGTGGAATTCAATATCTGCAGTAATGACTACATAACTGGCATTTTAACATTCGAAGGTGTTTTCTTCAGACAGAGGTCAAAGTTATCAATAGGGTCAGTGTGTTACAAGACCAATTATAGAATATAAAACTGCTGATACCGATACCGGTTATATAATGGAGTTATGCAAGACGAATTGCCGATTGAACTTTTAGAGTTAACTAGGATTGACACGGATTTAACCGACAGATATGATGATGGATTCAATCGATTGGAAATGAATTTCGTTGAGTAAGGTGGAATCAATCAAAAAATTCCTTTTTGAATAAAATATTAGCAGTTTTGGTTGACATTCTTGGTAATGTTTGCAATGAGAAAAACAACCTTATAACCTATGGATATCATTAATCCATTCATTTAGAAAGATCAACACAACTTTATTTTTGGTTGATATAATACCCAGCACTTCTCCTTTCGAGACGAACAACCTTTCGTTTTGCTCCTTTTTCGCTGCTACTGCGGGTTGCAGGATTTATGGTTGAGATTTCATATAATCTCCTTTGTTTATTAGTTATTCATCTTCGCATTTGAAATCATTTTTTTTTGCTGGACTTAGACACGTTCGACCAGTTTGCATGCCGCCGGTAAATTACCCACAATTCAGATAACTTTCGAAAGACGTCTAATAACAATTATTTATATCTTCAGCTACCAGTGTTTGCATTCTTCCAGCGGATCAGCGGGTATCATTAAAATCCCTATTATAAATTGCGTTTCTGCATTAAATGCGGCTTTTATTTATAATAATTCAGGCTCGTCCTTTTTTTTCTGCGATTTTAAACTGCCATTTAACTCCGAATGATCGTATCTTATTATTCGGATTTTTTCGAATGGTGCTAAAGCTTTGTAATGGGACGTTCCGGCGGTAATTTGTTGCCATATAAATATAATTAAAAACACTTCTATATATAAATTTAGCCAAGAAACGTGGGTTAATTAAAAGGTTGAATCTTAAATTGTTTTATAATGTATCATTAATCCTTTACTTTGTACTTGATTGTTATTCGATTATTGTATACATTTTTGATATTTATTTTAATCGTTTTTCGCCTTTAAATCCAACTTTCTTGTCGTCTGCGTTCGCTTTGCCTCGTTTGCCGACGTCTGTAGTCAGGTATTTAAAAAAGTAACACGGATTTTCACATTTAATTCGAAGCTGCAAGTTAGTACTATTACCGTGATAAATTACATTAGCCTTACTAGAAGAATTCACCGTTCGAATCGTCGATTGATGGAAGAGAAAACACCACAAGACGAAAAAAGCGACTATTAATCCGTACGAAAATGAGTTGAGCAAATAGTTATATCGTTTATTCCATACTTTCTTATTAAGCGCATCGAGAGATGGACCGGCTAATGATTGATAAGATGCGGTGAAGATTTATAGCTACTATTTACTGACAGTTTCTCTTCTGAACAGGAAAAATCAGGCTGAATTGATTAGAATCGTAAAGCTTCTGCGATAGAGGTTAAAAGTTTGATTAAAAATTCGACACTAAACTTTGCGTAACTATAACTTTCATTAACCTATTCAAATTTTTTTGCACTCTAAACTTAAGTGTATTTTTTATGTGTATTTTGTCTATGCCTATAGGTATGTATTTATTTTCAGTTTCAGAAAAATCTCCAAATACGTTTTATAATACTATTAACAAACAATTTGATTTATAGGTTTTATTGATTATCTCTTTTATTAATAACGATCAGATTTTTTTATACAGCTCAAACTAGTTTAATCTTCTGAAATACCTAATTAATTCGCTTCTTTAATACAAAAATCTACTGAATTATTAATCCAAAATTGGCGAATCCTGCAAACCCATCGACCATATGCTTGAAACAATAAAAACAATCCTATGATATAACGAAATTCCCTCTAATTGCCGTTTCATTCGAATATTCGAGACTTCATTATAATTCCGCAAATTATTGCAAATGCAGAAACGGCTAATTAATCAGGAGATATGTACATTCTCGAGAACGGTTGCTTCACACGTACGCGCACACACCAAATTAGTATAAAGCGCACAAACAGGATAAAGTGACAAACGGAAAAAATTATGATATATGAATGTTATAGAGTCTAGATGCTAATTATCTTTGTTTATACGTGTACGTACATTCATTATGTTCGGACTGCTACGTATAGTAAGAGCTAAATAGATTACTGTGTAGCTACAGGACAATAAGTAAGGGATTATACGCACGGTATAACATAAATTTTAGTTATGTATGTGTGAATTGATAGAAAAAAGTTGTCAGTAAAAAATTAATTTGCTAGAAAACACGCATAAGTAATGTTTAATGAGTTGTTGAGTAATATGTCGATAACGGATTCGTACAAACAACATATAATTCATTATTATGAAGAGAAATTGGAGGTTTCCTTGCATTTTTTTCTACTAAGGTCATTATACCAACATACATACACGTTTAATCAAAACTTCTTATGGAATATTTCAGTAAAACCTCTTAATTAGTAAGTGTTACATAAAGTTGTATTTTTTTATTAGAAATGGTATATGTAGATAATATTGGACCCATTAAGATTTCACCAGAATGAGAAGATTAAACCTTTATACATACAACCACCACATTCTTATGCGTTCAATATCCACAATAAGGTGATATCGAATGCAAAAATCCCATCGATTTCGTACACTCAACGAGTTCCAATCATGAAACAACCATTACCCGGCGACCATCCAGTACTTCGAACGGCATAATTCAGAAACTAGCATGCGGCCGGACGGGCACAAAGGTCATTCCTTCGGATCCCGCGACGGCGCGGCGAAGGAAGAGCGCCAATTAAA